GAAAGACATTTGAACAATAACTCTAACTTAAACATCCACAATCCTTTGGTCTCTTTTTGTACATGTGGCATATAATTAGACTTGAGTTTTAAATGACATGGACAAATTCAAGTAAAAAAACTCAAAAACTTTGCAATGCAAAAATAAAAAGACTAGGTCTAGCATACATGTCAACCAATAGAAATGTTCTAATATGTTGTATTTATTACAAAAAAATTAAATTAAGAACAAATGATGAGTGTTTGGGTTTGTACTTGGGTCCAAAATAGACCCAAGTGTGGACTTGGTCTCTTTTTTTCATTGCCACATAAGCTAGACCATGTATACTTTTAATTGCATTGAGAAATATATTTTTATAGACTAAGTCTATTTTCCATGTGGCATGTGATTTTTTTTCAAGAGACCCAAAGCATTGTGGGTGCTCTTTAAGGCATGCATGAAATGATGAAAAGTTGTACTTCTAAATGTTGCAACAATAAATGTGGTTTTTATAGTGCAACAACTCAACTTTACCATGTTTCGAGGATGCTGATTATATCTTTCAAGAGTGCTACATAACAGTGCTATATATATATGTAACACTTATTTGACCCTCACTATAACTTTATTGATGTAAAAAACTTGTACGTGCACACTTAGCTTGTAAAGTTCATTATTAGCCAACCTTGTGAATTGCTTCACCGCAAAGGCATTCATGAAATTGGTCCGGCTCTAGGGCGTAGGAGAAAAAAATTTCGCACTATTGCTATTCGAACAGAGTTGTTATCTAACATAGTTTGATTCGATTTGTAAAAGTTTGAGTTTGACTTTCTTGTATATTTAAACAAGCCAAAGACATTTTGTCTATCAATCATCCAGTCGAGTCAAACGTGTTTGCGAATAATTCAGTTACAGTTTTAGGTTTTGTTCTAGGTTTTAAAGTTATTTATTAAATGAATTGATGAACTGAGTTTATACGAGTGGAACCCAAAGTCAAATTTATATTTGTTTGTTAAAAGGCTAAGCCACGACAACTCTTTTATTAAATGAGCACGAGTTCAAACTTGAAACACTCGATTCGAAAAATATAGTTAGACACATGTAAAAAGAAGTCAAAGTATGAAACAAATTTTTAAATTTATTATAAACTATATGAATCACACAATAAATATAAAAATTATTATATTTTCTAACTAGTCGTGTTTTATATGTATATGACTCTCCTTGAAAAAAAACTTGTGAATTTTTAACTATTTTCTTGTACGTATAACATAAATTTATTTTTAATTGTTCCATCATTTTTTTGTAAAAAATGTACAAAGATAAATTTTCTCATGTACTTGAATTTTAATTAAAAAAACATAATTTATTCAATGAACCAGTGACGGATCTAGGAATTTTACTCAGGGGGGTCTAATTTTTAATGTTAAATAACGAACTTGTAGTTTAAGTCGAAACGTTCATTTCATATAAAAATGTATTTACTATAAATATAAATATCTACATGTTTACCATCAAGTTTTTAAAAACTTAGTATCCGTATCACCTTCAAACTTTTAAAAAAGTAAAAAAAAAAATTATTTAAAATTTCATGTATTTGTAATTTAAGTTCAACATCTATAAATATAAATTTTCTGGTTGCAAAATTGATCTAAATTGAAATTTCGAAGCACATCGCAATATTTTTGTTGATCAGAGCTTATCAAATAAATATTTTTTAAGAAAATAAATAAAGTTAAAAATGTGTGATTACATAAAAAAAAGGAAAAAATCAATATTAAAAAAAAGTAACAATCCAATTAAATACTCGATTTTATAAATAAAAAAACCAATTTACAATTAAGAGACCGAAAGAGTAAATCATTATAAATATTTTCAAAAACTTATTTAGAAATGTAAAATATAATTATTATTAGTATGTTTTTCATTAAATAAATAAATAATATTATTATTTAATTAAAATAGTATATAAAATAAGTTTTAATTATTAATATATTGTACATATTTTTAGCATATCTATACATACTTTAAAGAATTATATCTATATATATATATATATATTGATTTTTTCGTGATCCATACTTCACTGCGACGCCACTGCTTACTTCGGTGTCGCACCAGGGATATACAGGTTTTTTATTTTAATCTTTGTGAAAAAAGGAAAAAGATTATAGTATATTGCTGCATTCTTTCATAATTCTATGCNAAAGTTGTTTTTAAAAGCATTTCAGTAATTTCATATATTTTTCTAAAAAAAAAAAGAAAATGATAAAACTAAAGAACCTAGTTTCAAAAAAATAAAAAAGAAAAAGGGGCTGCTGCGAAACAAACGAGCCGACAAGGGCTGCTGCTGTTGTTCGGAGTCCGTCGGCTGCTCGCTGCCGGATGGGGCTGCTGCTACTCGGAAAAAAGCCGACGGGGAGATGGCTGCTCAAATTCGACGGCGAAACCCGTTGGAATGGCCGTCTCAGTTCGATGAACAGGAGCCGACGGGGATTTCTTTGGAACGGGGCTGCTCGACATCACCGACAGGGAGAAATTGAAAAGAAACCGGCCACTGCGAGGGTCAGGTTGGACATGGCCGTGCCGGACAGAGCCTTGGTCGCCGGTCGCAGGTCGATGTGCTGTGAAGGCTGGTCCCCGGTGGTCGGACATGAGCTCGAACTCGCCGAGATGTAAACGCCGATGAGTTCTGATCGCGGCGCTAGGGTGGAGAGGAGATTTAGGATTCCCGACCTGGGGTAGCCGGGCCGACGAAATCTGAGGCTTGCTGCGGCTGTACAGGAAGGACGCCAGGAGATGAAATTTCGATGGCGAGAGAGAATGAGGGTGAAGGGTGATATGGGATATTATACGACTAAGGAGCAGACCGGTCCATCATGTAGGTCGGGCAGGCATAGGGTGGAGAAAACCACGTTGGTTGAAGGATGATCGACCAAAACAGAATAGATCGAGCAGAATAGCAGAGCTGGTCGAGGATCGATTTAGTAAGGGGGAGCTCGATCAGATCGAGCATGCAGCAGGTAGGAAGCAGTCGAGAGCGTGGCATGAACGCGAGTGGGCGCGTGAGTGGTATCAGGAGATCCTAACGGGTTGCGCAAGGGAATAATTCCCCTCAGCTCAGAGGGGGGCACGTGGCGAAAATGTATTGGTGCAGAGTGATAGTGGTAACAACCGCCCCTGACACCTCTGACGTTTCTGACAACACGCACACTGTGTGTGTACGGACGGGCAGCGTGGGCAGGACAGCTCACCAATATCCGGGCAGCTCCTAGGGCAGGTATCTCACTCCTATATATATAGGAGTGGGTCTTTTCTTAGGGTTTTACGATTTATCCATTCTTTACTTTGGAAAATTGAACAAACATATACTGACTTAAGCATCGGAGGCTCTTCACCAGAAAACCCCACCGGTGTGAGAGTTCTGTGCAGGGACGCGGCGTTCTATCGGCGAGGAAGAAGGAAGCAAACCGATTCCAAGCCGGTCGGAGTGTTTTGCGTTACCATTTGGCGCCGTCTGTGGGACTTTTGTTCGAAAAGTGGTATGCTGAGATTTCTGAAGCTTGGTAGCTATGGCGGACGGAATTCCTAGAAGAGATTTACAGGCATCGTTCGATGATGCGTGGACGATGACGAGGCCGTTTGGAGAAGGCCCACCTCCGGGTTTCTCTGGACCCTCACGTACACCGGTGACTCCGACGCCTGTTCCCCAAGGTGTAGAAGTCACGCCGGTGCAACCAGAGGCTGATGTGGGCTCAAATCGGGCCCAAGAGACCCGCACAACTCAAGGCGCGGCGGCCCCAACGCCGCCGCAACCAGATCTGGCCGCGACGCTGCAGCGAGGAGTGGCGGTACAAGGAGCGGTGCCGCTGCCGGCGGAGGAACAGCGTCCTGGCCAGCAGGTGGTGATGACTAGGCAGGAGATGCAGCAGATGGTGGCGAACGCGGCGGCACAAGCGGTTCAGCAGGTCACTCAAAGCCTTTCGCGAGTGGCTGCTGGGCCAACGATGGTGGATGAGGACGTGTCGAGCTCTGGAGGAGATGGGGCCTTAAGAGATCGTGAGGTGGAGAGGCTCGCGGAGCAGGTGAGGCAGATGTAGGCTAAGATGGATGGTCGACCTGAAAGACGTGCTCGAGGACATCCGTTCTCGAGGGATATATTGGCTGCGCCGTTACCTGCGAATTTCAGAGACATGAGTTTGATGTTCGATGGGACCACTGGCCCGTCGAGGCATGTAAGGGCGTTTGAGAATTTGGCTGTGCTGCATGGTTATTCTGACTCAGTTAGCTGCAGGGCATTCTTGTCGAACTTGAGGGGAGGCGCGCTCGACTGGTTTCAGCAGCTCCCTCATGGATCGATCAAGGACTTTGATGATTTCGCAGAAAAGTTGATGACCCAGTATGCGAGTGCGGTGGCACAGGAAAAGACGTACTTGACGTTGATGGCCATGAGGCAAGGGGAGAAAGAATCATTACGCAAGTATGTCGTGCGATACAATCAAACTTGTTTGGAGATCCCCACGGCCTCGGACGAGGTGAAGGCTGGGGGGCTGATACGGAGTCTGCGAGCAGGGCCTTGTAGAACATCTTTAGCCAAAACCCCTGCTCGTACGTATGACGATGTGCTAAAAAGGTGTAAGAAGTACATTAATTTGGAGGAAACGGAGGCTGAGTTTGCTAAGTTGGAAGAGTTGGCTAAGCCAGAGCCGAAGAAAGGAAGGGTAAGCTCGCCTCGAAGAGTATCCCCGGGGAGAAGATCGCCTAGAAGAGAGG